TGCTCCCTTTACACAGAGTGCGTGTGATCGCGAAATCGAAAGTGAAAGTAAACAGCGCAAACGCTCATTCAAAAATATTTAAATACACCGCATCCTGAGAGCAGCTCCCTGATGTGCCAAAATTATATACAATATTATTATGTTTAAAGGAGTGGACACGAAAATCGCGGGAGCAAAACACGTTGCGGGAGCAGGCGGCAATGGTCAGAGATTCAGCGGGAGTGGGATTAAGAAAAAAGCCGAATCCCAGACATTTTGGGCAATTAAGAAATCCCGGCCGGACGCATTTTTGTAGGTCCAAAAAGAGGACATGTCCGGGGAAGAGAGGACGTATGGTCACCCTAATTTATTGCTAATCGATTTATTCTTTTTAAAGTAGCATATAGAACTTGAAATGAGTGTTGCAGTTACACATTACATTTTGCATGGACCTGGCTTTCTCTGCAGAAGTTTATTTCTGCTACAAAAGACTTGATACTGCCTATTACAGGTCACTGAAAGTACTGCGTTTTGCCCTTACTCACCCAAACTTGTCAACAAGGCTACTTTATGTGAATGGGAGTTCCTTAGCAAGTATTTGTGAATCAGAGGTGTTTTATATGAGATGAGGACATGACTGCAGCCGGCAATGAGGCCCAAACCAGCACATCCAATTAAGCTTGTCTAACCCTGTGTGTATATATAGCCCTAGTTTTTCTTCAGTTCCGTGTGAGTTGTCGAATGTAATGGTTGTCTGTTTGCCAGTCATTCTGTTCTTTGGCTTATTGTTTGTTATAGTTTTTCCATGAAATATCAGCACATAGATCCTTGCCTCTCTGCCTGTTTTCCGCAGCTTCTCCATAATGTTAGTTTTTCACTGGCATGTCTCTTTGACTAGTGCATTTTTTTGAGCCTATATTTAGTATAAGTAAAATACTTAAGTACTGTTAAAATCAGATACTCTAAGACTTTTACTCAAGTTGTTTTGGAAATGGTGACTTGTAACGTGTAGTGGAGTCATTTTCACTGTAAGGTATCTGTACTTTTACTCAAGTATGGTTTTAGGTACTCTTTACACCTCTGATAATCCTATCGTTTTATTAGTGTGGGGAAAACATTATAGATGAACCAACAGAAATGAAAAGTGAGCTTTAATATCCATCAAGAACAATTAGATACTTTCCGGTGCATCCTGAGCCTTATGCATGCAAAAGCAATTACTCCAATTACAAACTAACACTTAATTGCATTTCTTGTAATATTACACATTAAAAGTAATTTAAGTCAACTTGGAGGATTTGAAAGGATAATTCTGATATGCCTTATACGCTACATATCTCGTCTACTGTTATGTTACTACACTAACAAAAGACTAATGTCGTTATAATATTAAAAGTGTACGTGTTTTTGAAATGAATTTGCATTTTGTGCATTAGCTTTAAGGCTCAGGATGACCTCGTGTATTAGCAGCAAGTATTACTCATACAGGTTATATAGATTTAATAAAACATGTTAAAATAAAACACCACTTAGTTAAGACAGTAATGTTAAAACATTTTGCTTACTATTGAAAAAGCAAAAACTGAAAGGCAGAAAAAGGTCTTTCTGATCAGAAGCACGTCTGTCTGTTAGCACTGAAGCTAGCTAAAGTACGTTAACTGGATACTCAGATTTCGACAAATCCATATTACACGTAGTAGTTATATGTTTTTATTACGTTTTTAGAGACGTTAAAAAGAAAAAACATCGAGTCTATGATTGCATTTGTGCATTAATAATCCGATTTTACAACAATGAATGAAGCCCGTCTGACTCGGTCCTGCTGGCTAGCATTCAATATGGAGGACATTTCTAGAAGAAACATGGAAGGGCGCGTGCAAAAAGACAAAACGGTACAAAAATGACTACATACCCGCTCCACGAATTCCTTATCGGCGTCACTCATTGTTGTTTAGTATGTATTACGCTGCAATGGTAACACTGGGAGAGAAATTACAGATAATGAAACACAAATAGAGCGCACAAACAGATCGAGCGTCTGGGAATGAACGCCTTTCTCGGTCGTAGAGGCTTTATTAAAAAACCAGCGTTTCCACTCCCACTAGCGCAGCGGAGCAACGGCCGCAAGAGGGCGTCGAAAATACTACACCGATAAAAGCTTCTTGTCAAAGCCTGTACGTTATTTATACACCTATAATAAACATATGTTTTACACAACCAGACCTTCATTCAATTAATTTTACATAGAGCAATGGTTAAAAAATCCCATCCGACTGGCATCAAATGCGGAGTGGCTTATCCTACTTCGAAAAGATTCTTTACTACTCAGTAAGCAAGGACCTGATTGGTCGATATATATATATATATATATATATATATATATAAGAGGATATCTGTGCAAGACATCGATTGGACGACGCTGATAGTAATTTTTCCCACGTTTACTACACTAGACATTATATGAATGGGAAACTGCTGCATGGCAATGAGTTGAATTTCTTTAAGTTTGAGTTTTCTCAAATTGAGTTTTCTTCTGATTTTGTTTGAAGTAGAGGTATACTCAAATACTTATTTTGTTCTGGTATTTAAGTGTTATACTTAGAAATTACCATTTTGCTGCCTTAGTAGGCTATGTTTTGTTTTATACACAACAGCGAACTTGCACATGTAACGTTATATTTTAATTGATTCCTATTTTAGAAAAAAAGCAGTGGTGGGACAGATGTGGATAATACTAACATAAAAACAAAAAGTATTTATTTTTGTTATTATCATTCTACATAACCATAGTCACATACACGTATTCTTTGTGCTTTTATAGCTATAAATTATTATTTTTAAATAAATTCAAAGAATTTCCGTTTAATACTGTAAAGCTGCTTTGACACAATCTTCACTGTAAAAGCGCTATATAAATAATGGTGACTTGACTAAAGTGGAAAATAATTGTAGAATATTCCACGTAGCTACAGTTGTATTGAGTTTCCAGTAGACGGCGCCTAAGATACAAAATTGCATTTTTGTGTAATTAATTTTAATGAGCGACAGGAGTGGTTTCTGCCATCTCCTTAACATTATGAATATTGTAGATTTAAACGTCATTTAAAGAGTGACTTTTTATAATATCCAATAACACAAAAAAAATGTAGAGTGAAAGTGTGATCTTCACTAAAAATGCATCATTGCATGTGTATTGGCACAAAATAATTATTTTGACAATCATTTTCCTTTAAGCCTTTCTTCCCAAGACAGGATGAATATGGCCTGCATTTCTTGACAAACCCAAAAGGCTAATAAACTTACTAAAATAAAAATGAAAAGTGTTTAATGTACTCAGTATGACTTATATTGCAATATAATGCAGCACAGCCCACTGATAATTATGACACAGAGAATCAAAACAGAAAAAAAAAACATTGTTTTACAACACAGTCAAGTTCTAAAATAAGTCATAGATATAATATAAAAAGAAAATAGTCTGTGTATTATTGAAATCCTCATTGTCATTTTTTATTATTATTTATCTATTATAAATAATGTCTTAATTATATTTATTGCATATACTTGAACACTTAAATTTAAAGGCCTTCTAATAAAAAAATGTAAATCATTAGCTTACAGACAGTACAGTTAAATGCATTGTCTTTGCTGGCTGAGAAAATTATTTTTCCATTCATCCATAAATTGTTAACTGTCTTCATGTGCAGAGTAATGGATGCATAACCACAGCACATAATGACATTTTAATCAACAAAGCATATTGATGATCTGTGTGCAAATAAGTGCAGGTACAAGTCTTCTGAAATGTGTGTTTTACGTGTTTTGTGATTGTGCTGTTGTTGTTCAGGCGGTCAGTGGACTGTTTTTGAATGTTAGTGATGAGATTCATCCTTTAGCTGGTTTCAAGGTATGTCATTAAGTGCATGTGTTAAAGTGTCATCATGTGATACATTGAACTAAGTTTTGGATAACATTTGCATTAAAGAACATCTGATTCAGGGGTTCACTTGTGTTCATGCTTTGAGTTGCTGTTTCTGGCAGCTAGTCTCCCAGCAGATACAGTCCATATGTCCAGTGCCACTAGATGGTCCTTAATTTAAGGACTTTAGAGAGAGCAGCTCTGGCACTGGAGTAGATGAGGTAGGAGCCATCGGTTGTGTTAAAATATTCCCAATCTCTGCAGCCATTGGTGCTCAGTCTGTGCACCGGGATAAACCCCTCATAACCCTGCCACCTGCAAAACACCCATTTATAATGTTAATAAAACATTTGGCAAGAATGCATTGCATTGTCAGATTGTCAATTTACTTAAAGTTGCAGTGTGTCATTTCAGAACTACTAGCAGTGTCAAACAGAATTGCAGTCAGCTTGTCAGGTACAGGACTGTCTGTGTTTAGGAAGCCTGATTACAAAAAAACCTTTGCATTTACATCTTTTGTCATGCCTGAGTGACAAACTGCTGACATGTTTTGAGTGCTGACATAAGAGGGTTTTTTTTTTTACTATCAATTTTGAATAAGGCTATAGAACAAATTTAACACATTTAGAATTACATTTTTAAATATAGAATATTTTAACGTCTTTTAATATTACCCTTGGTAGTATCGTAATGGAGCAGTATCGTACAGACCCCCAGTTGAAAACTCTGGGAAAATGTATACTTTGACGAACACAGAATTTCTCCTTTTCAATTCAATTCAAATCTTTATTGTCATTGTAACATGTACAACGAAACTAAAGTGTCATCCAATCAGTGCATCACTCATAATCAACAAAACATAAAAACAGCTAAAATAGTCAAAATGATCAATAAAACACACATACAGCATACATTCTGTCATTATTGCCCCAATCTCTTTGTCACATGGATGAATGAAAGGGAGAATAAAATGAAGCTTAGAAATAATTACAGAATTTTCTGGATCAACTATTCCACTGATTTTAAATGTGTGCAAAACACACATATAATATAATTTCTATACTATTATAGTTGTTAATATTTAATTTTTATATTTGCTTGTTTTTTATCTACATTTCAGTTTCAATCATTTAAGTTTCAATAATTTTGTTGTTTAATATGTGTATTTTTTGTATGTATATATTGTATTTTTAGAATAAATATATATACTGTATATATATACATACACACACATATATATATTTTTGGTAACTAGCTGAAATAAAATAAGTTTAAGTTTTTTTAATATTCTATTTCAGTTAATGTTTATTTTATTTAAAGTAGTAAACTTTTTTATGGTTTTAGTTTTAGTTGACTAAAATAACCCTAGTGCAATATGAGAGCTGTACCTGTATATAACACTATTAAGAGAGTATGAGTTTCCATCGTAGGAGTTGGCGACCACCAGGAACTTGTCATCTCCCACAGTAAAATACTCCCAGTCCAAAGCACTGAAAGACCCAGACAACAAAGTGTTCCTTAAGTAAAAATATGAAACTTGAAAAGTAAAGTTTTTTTCTAACAAAGACCAGTTCACAATTCACCTGTTCGTTTCAATATCCTGAAACTTGATGAAGGTCTGAGATGTCATGCTGAGCTCATAGATGGTGGAGTTGATGGAGTACAGAATCTTGCCCTCCTCCGTGAGCATCTGGCTGTTCGCCACAGCCAAGAAGACCCTGTTTTCAATCTGGAACATCTCCCAGTCTATCGCCCCAAAGGTCTGAAAGATTTTTTGGAAGAAATTAATGCTTTTACTCAGACAAGTGTACTTACTCAAGTGACTGTAAAGACATTTATAATGTAAATAATGTATACTGTATTATTGACCAAAAATGGTTTCAAAAACACTAAAAACTCCAAACTGATTTGCAGATCAGGGAACAAAGGAATGTGTATGTCCCCTTGGTGCTTCCATTGTGATGATGATCATGCTGAGAGAAGATAAAATAACATAATTTCACTCACTGTAATGAACTGATAAGGCTGAAACATCCCTCCCAGCCAGATATAGATGGTAGAATCAATGACTGTAGATCTTCCATTGAAAGTGTTAGCGACTGCAAGGAAGTAATATGGGCCGATGGTGAAAAACTCCCAATCATAAGCACCAGTGGTGGGGATTGTCTGATTGACCTCAAAAAACTGAGTAACTGGATTCCACTTGTAGATTACACTGTCAATATTATGGTTTCTCTCCCCTGTGGACAAAAAACCAATATATATGAGCCTAGACACAGTTCTTTGGCCACATTTTAACACAGAAATCTGCATGGATTGACATGGTTCAGATTGGATGGGTTCCAGCAGATGCAGGTGTATAGATGGGGCCTGTATGGTTATGAAGTGCTATGAAAGGTGTCTTTTATGCCTGTGTTTCCGCTTTGATCAATGCCAGAGGCGCACGTAAGAACTTCACACGAACGGATGAGCATAGTGTGCTCTCGTAAGCAAATAGACATCAAGTGCAGAATCAAAGTGAACCACATAAACAAGGAGACCTTTTAGCCTTAAAAAGATTTCCTTGATGGTCTTTTTGTTCAGATTGTGTGCCTCAAAGACCATAGATTTGTATGAGATTTGTATGGAATTCAAGTTTAATCTGCTTTTAGAAATCATATAGATGGAACTTCCTCCTCTTATTGTTCAGCAGATAAAACCTGTCGAGTTATAAGTTAAAAGGACAACAACGCCACATGAGATGACAGACGTGCAATGAGCTGTTCTGATAAACATTACCTTGCCTATGATTGGCCACGGCGAGGAAAGTTTCGTCTTGAATGTTGAAAGCCTCCCAGTCACGAGCACTGTGTGTGTTCAGAGTCTGATAGCGAATAAATTTCAGCTTCCTTGAGCTCCACTTATATATCACAGACTGCTCCTGGTCCCCTGCATCCTTACTTCTGCAGTTAGCAACAACCAGGAACTTCTGTTATAGGAAAATGGTTGTAAGAAATCATGTCAGCAGCTTCAGTAAATTACTGTGTACTGTGATGAAAAACAGAATTAAATTGTAATGAGTTTTGCACTTCATAAGTGTAGGTGTTTTCTGCATCTTCAGAGGCTTTTAATTATCCCGGACAGATTTCAAAGCTGTGCTGATGGGAATATTTTAATGAATTGACTAGCTCTGAACTTTAGTTTAATGGTGCATTGATTTATCTTTTAATAACTGGTCACTGATGCAATTACAAAGGTGTCCCCCCTCTATTTCACTTTAAATTGAACATGAATCATAATTTTATATTAGACTTCCAAGAAGAAAAACATATGGATAATTGCACTGCAGGTATTAACAGAGCCCCATACGGCTTTCCAACTCTTGACTGTAATTATGCAGTAAGTTACGGTGAAGGGAAGCAGGAGGTGTCTGCTGTAAATTTTGGATACAGCATCAGACAAAATTAATTTCTGTTATTATGCACATGTGATTTACAACATTAAAACTAGAGAGCCAGGTTTCCACCCCCTCTCCCACTGGAAAACCACATAAAAAAAACACTCGAATGTGTAAAGAACAGCTGGGGATGAGCAAACAGACGTTCTTTACTCTGCACAATCTTCTGATAGTGGCCTAGCAGCTGTTCCACTTGGCAGCCCCATCAATATCACAGGTTTTCATTTATAAAACATTTAGTTTCGGTCCTCAAATTTGATTGGCTTAGCAGCATTCCAAGAGTGCTGATGTATCAGTCCAACAGCACTAAGAGTTTTTACTGTTCGTATTACTCTGCTTGTCTATGTTTGCTTCAGATATACTGTTAGTTTTTGTATTAGTGGTGTGGATTTTTTTACTGATTGTTTCTGCAGGTTACACATATGCCAGTAGGTGATGAAAAATGGCAAAAAGTCTTTAAAAGTGAATCACCAAATCATTTACCAGATTGCTTCATTCAAGCAAACTGATTAATTTAGGAACGAAACAAGAGATTGCCTTTCTGGGTGAGTCATTGAATCATTCACCCAACCAACTTGTAATTCATCCTGAATGCCACTACTAGGCTGTGACTTTGTTTAAAACTATTTTTGTTGGCAGAGCAAAAATAGACAAATTAACCGACAATATGTTTACTAAAATGTAAGTTACTCAGTGTTGACTTTGGTTTATTGTATAAAAGCAATATCACATTCTGTTGGTAGTCCACACACACCTTTTTGCCCACTGTGAAGTATTGCCATGCTTGTGCATCATAGGTGCTGATGTTTTGATATCGTTCAAACCTCCCGTCTGTCCATTTGTAAATTCCTGATCCAAGGTTGGAATCACGGTTGGCGGTCGCCATGAAAAGTCCTACAGAAGTCATGTGGAAAACCTCAATGTCAAATGTCTCAGAGTTGGTAAATAAATCCTGGTGATCTTCCACGTAGTCCAGCTTCTCTTTCACTGCAGAGATGCAATGTGATAGTTAGATACCATATCAGTTATAAATAGAAGCTGCATTCATACAAATTACAGGTGCAAATTACGGTTACAAAATCACCTTGCAGCATATTGAGCCATATAATCCCATCACAGAGAAACAGTCCTCTCTTCAGTGTGTTAAACCACAGCTGTCCCTCCTCTGAGTTTCCACAGGGAGGAATCACACCAGCAGTCACCCGAACCTCTGCCTCTGTGCCAAATAAATAGAGTTGTTCAGTTTCAGAAATTATGCCATCAATATTGATGAACAGTATATTAACAGCTTCCACAGATGAATGGTAGGATGCTTAGTTTCCCCATTTAGTGCAGTTTACTGTCGTTTTTACATTCTCTGGGATTCATTCTCAAAACTTTGGTCACTTTTTTGAAACTCATCACATAGTGGGCACAACAACAGTCTATGCTGGCTAAACTCTGGATTATTTTCCACTGCTTTGTCACAAAATACATTCAATGACTACAAATTACATGAATTCTTTTCTCACAAAAACACAACCACCACCACATGCCAATATGCACATTTTCATACTCCTTTCAAAACTGTTAAACTTAAGTTCTAAGCTGAACAAAACAGCTACATTTCTACATGTATCGAAACATTTTCCATTAAATACTACCAAAACAATTAGGTGTTGGTTTTTCAATTACGTTATCATCTAGCCTACACAAAAGGGGACAACTTGTGAATAAGTTTGTACAGTAATGTGAACATGTGACATTTACTGCAGTAAATTCTAACAGTAGAGAGTGTCATTCTTGTTTTACAGAAGAAAACATTGTGTTTTTTAGGTCAGTGCTTTATGAATGAAAACGTGTGTTTGTTGGGTAACAATATTTGCCAGTGTAATGGAAAAATGAATTGATTTGAGACATGTATGAAGTGTTTTGTTAGGTTTAGAGCATTTGAATGTGAAATTAACTGCTGTGCCAAAATGAAAGCTGGTAAGGAGATCTGTGTGAAGAGTTTTTTTTTAAATTGCTCAAGTATTGAGAAATGTGTCTCACATAAAACTGTATGAATATAATTGTATTTGAAAATATCAAACAAATCTGCAATGATACCAGACTTACTGCATGTTGCAGCCTAAGTCTGCCTACATTATATAAGGTGAAATAAAGCAAACATGGCCTCTCACTGCCCTGTGTCATGTCTCTCAACAGGCCCACAGTATAAAGCATCACAGCGAGCCCCGCACAACTGCACCCTGCTTTCAAACACCAGCACTTCTTCTGAGCCACAGAAAAACTCAAAGCACAAGGCTGTCAGTCAATGTCAGCGGATCAGTAACAGGCCTCTGAGATAGAGTTACTCACATCCCCATACAATCACAGACCTGTGTTTACAGCTAAAACACACAGCATTCCTATAGGACGGACTCCTGCAGACTTAAAGATATCCTTAGTGGACATTACCTGCACAGAAACCAATCTATAACAACTGCACCTTTTGAAGATTAGCTTACATTTTGATTCTTACTGGTTAGACAAGTTTGCCGATTCAAAATATCAAGTTACTGAATGAAGACTTGCTAACACCTGCATGCAAATACAAACCATACATGATATTGTGTTATCAAGGTGATAGTGTGTCTACATACTCCACATATACAGTATGTGCCAGCGGAGTACTTTTTTTAGTGATTACTGTGCATACTGACACACAGCCTATATGATTCCAGTGTTAATGTTTTGTAGTCTCACCATAAGGGTGGAGGGGAAGGTCAGTGGATGATGGTTTGATTGGCAGGTGTAAAAGGGCCTGAGGAACTGTGAGAGCAGACAGCCGGGCCTTGGACGAAGGACAAATTTGTGAGGTAGCATCTGAACCAGGTAACAAAACTAGCTGCCGTATCAGACCCTGCAAAAAACAGTGGAATGAACTGACACATTTAGATTTCAAGTGCATTGTGAATCTTATTAAAATGATAAAAGCCTTGAAATGAGATTTGTACAGAAAATAGGCCGTTCCATCTTCTTCTGCTAGCAATGAAGAATGTGGAACCAGTTGTATCAAGATTATCGGGGAAAGGTCTTTCAAGCTCCCTGTTTGAGACAAAACAGGACATTTTATACGTTTATGCAACAAAATTATATAGTTCAATACATAAATGTAAAAATTATCTCCCATTTTGACTCATATATCATTATAACCTGACATCTACAGCATTCCCAAAGAGAGTCTTACAGCTCTAGAGGTGTGCCACAGTCCACAGTGAGAATTGTGTAGCGTCCCGTCACGGCCAAGACCACAGTGTGCCAGCGGTTATCATCCAGCCCTACTGCCTTAAAAGTGATGCGTTTCCTGCTACCGTGACCCTTCTGTAGAAAGTAGAACTTGTTTTGGGACAGACGCAGGCCGAGGAGTGGCTCATCTGAATCTCCCTCCAACAGTGTGAAGATGTATTCACTCTTCTGCACATCAAAGAGTGAAGACTGATCACTATCGCTATTCAGAAATCTAGAGCATATTCTGAGGAAAAGGCTTCTGAAGGTTCTTTGATGTTTTCAAACTTAAACTCAACAATATCTTTATCTTTTTTTTTCTCTCACCTCAGGAGCCATTTGTGGGATTTTCAGTGTGACAACGATGGAGAACTCGGCGGGAAAGAAGATACAATTAATGAAGAGCTGAGAGGCAGGGAAGCTGAACAGCTGTGGAGATCCAGAAAACTGAAATCCACGAGCACCTCTGGACTGGACCATACGTATCCCATCCTGAGCCCTGCTGGACACAGGAAGCACCCGGGACAGGAGGTCCAATGGTAACAGATCTGTAAAAGAAACTCACATTAATTTATCATACATTTTCTATGTGTTATACTGTTTGCTTTATGGGATTATGTACATTCAGCAGCAATAAAATACCAACTTAATAAATAAATACACATGAAGTATTGATTTAAGCTGAAATTACCTGATTATGTGAGAAGAGACTGTAGTAATATATATATATATATATATATACAGTGGGTACGGAAAGTATTCAGACCCCCTTAAATTTTTCACTCTTATATGACGAGTTCAGATGCAAAAGCCTCTAAGTGCCTTTTGAAATTTTCTTCTAAAAGCCTCTAAAAAAGCCTCTAAGTGCTGTTTCACTTTAATGGCAATGAAAAGAACTATATATATATATATGGTATATATTATAAATGCTTTTATTTTGAAATTTCTCATCAAAGAACCCTGACAAGAAATGTAGCATGATTTCCACAAAAATATTAAGTGACACAAATGTTTTCAACATTGATAAGAAATGTTTCGTGAGATGCAAATGATTTCTGAAGGATCATGTGACACTGAAGACTGGAGTAAATCTGCTGAAAATTCAGCTTTAAAACTGCATTTTAAAATATATTCAAATAGTAATAATATTATTATTAATGATATAGTAATATATAATATTTTTTAAATTGTAGTAATATTTCACAATATTTCTGTTTTACTGTATTTTAGTCAAATAAATGTAGCCTTGGGGAAAATAGATTTCTTTCAAAAATATTATAAATACCAACCCAGACTTTTGAACACTATAACACTGTTTCATTGATTTACAAGATTCTACAAATTTATTTAGAGCATATAAACGAAAGATTCAAAGGGCAAGTTCTCTTGTTTTGTTTTGATTCACTTCAGTGAATCAAAGAAGGAAATGGTTAGAGTGAAGAACACTTGGATCATATTTCAAAGACAGCAAAGCAAAAGGCATTTTGGAAAGCAAACAGGAAGATACACAGCTCAGTGATTTCAGTATGCTGGTACAGATTACACTTCAGATGCAGTGGGTCTGTATGCTGAATAAGACATCTTGAGCTGCTGACTCTTATACTGTAACTCGTATTGGTAGAATATTAATTTAAATTCTGCAATACGCTTAGCTTGAAGAGGTTTTAGAATAAACAGGAACATTTTAGCAACATTAGCTGTTCAGCATTGATTACTAACAAACTCAGCAAAGCTTGTGTGAAAAGCCTTGCCATGTTTTATTCTTTATTTTATCCTGTGTGGATAATGTTACCATAACAGTTTTTGCTTATCTTATTAATAGATCTGCATCTGCCTGTGAGTAGATTTAGTGTATACCCAGAAGGAACACTAAATCTATTCCTGTTACATTATAAGCCCCTTTATGATTTTAATGTTGTGATGAGATGACAAATGAGAGGCCGAAATGCCATAAACGTCTGGTTTGATGTTTTATCACAGCTTTTTGGATTCTCTCCGATATAATATAAAATGTATCAGGTGTTCTGGCCATTTTGTGCTTGCTCTGTCCTGGGACCATATCATATTTTCAAAGAGTTTATTCAAATAAAAGCAATGATACCGTGATGAATTGTGTAAAATGTCCTGTTTCCACACAGTGTCACTAACAAGTGAAATTTGCTAAAGATAACAGGGAATGTTCTGATAACTTTGGTTGATGTTCTGGCAAGGTTCTCTCAAAGTTATGAACAACTTCGGTTCAGATTTATCTTTAATAACGATCTCAAAAAAAAGATGATTTATATTGTCCACGGAATGATTTTTGAAAAAATGTTTCAGTTCAACATTCATCTAACATTTTTATGTTTCATAATGTTCAGAGAACATTCAAAAGTAACATTTCTATAATGTTTGCAAAATAATAAAATGAATGTTTCCTTAACATTAATGCATAAACAAGAAAAAAAAACTGGACATTTTGAACATTCAGAAATAACATTTTCATAACTTAATGGGAATGCAAGCAAATGCTCTTAGAACATATATTTAGCTAGGTCAGTCAAGCAACAGTTGCTACAAACAGTGAACAGGTATACATAGTTTAGAAATGGCCCCTAATTGTCATTCTACGGTGCATGACGTCTTTCAAATGAAACCACTGTACAACACCAGTGTTTTACATCAGCACCTGGCAACCGCATCTAATCTGTGTCTTCTTTTACACCTACATCCCACTGGGAACCAAGATATTCAGAGAGGCTTATCCTCACCAAGTAAATAACCAAAAAAACAGACTTCTGACAGTAGAGGATAACATGACAGTTAGAACTGATTGACATTTGTGTCTGAATTACAAGAGCTGATTTTTGTCCTCCCATGACCATTTGCCTTTATTTAGTTTTCCGAAATGGTTTACTGAACGTAAAGCCCATAATCCAATGGCAATTCAGTAGAAAATCTGCAATAATTACAAAGGATAACATGACTCAAATAGTGTCTTTAACAAAGGGGACAAGTTTTGACTGAGACTAGACTTTTTCCAAATAAAAGATCATTTTAAAATGTAAAAAAAAACCTGATTATCATGGAGTATTCTTCCATAAAATGCTTCTAAATGTGTGTTTATAGTTGTATATATGTTAAATCAGCAAGTAGGCCTGACCTGTGCAAGGTCTCCATGGTCCAGACTGGCAGGTGATGATCCAGGAGAGGAGCACACAGGCCAGCAGCAGCAGCTCCGACATCAGGGTCTCCACTCTCTCAGCTCCATTCACACACAGCCAGACCGAAACAAAGCGATTCTCAAAGCCCAGAGACCATCCTTACATCCAAACACAACAAATCACTGTGAGGATGAGAAGATGTCCAGGGGACAGCTGAGGTGTCACTCAATTAAACTGGCATCTTACTCACTCCTGAAGATGCTGCTGTCCTCTGATGTCCTTTTTTTTATTTTAATAAGCATTACAATGAATGCATGATCAAACGATGTAGCATACAATGCCAATGCATTTTGCGTTATCCAAATCCAAACTTCTTTTGCTCAAGAGAGTCTATCAAAACTCCATGGCTGTGAAGAACTTCCTCCTTGAACAGTGTCCGGCTGAGGTCTCTCTGCTTTGCTGTACATGTCAGTGTGCTATGAAGGGGAGTGTAAACTTCACCTGCGAGTTATGAGCAGGGAGAGGTGTTTTACCCCGCAGACATTTAAATGAGAATAAGTCAGCTGTAGAAAGGAGGGGTCGACGTTAAAGAGAGGGAAAGGTGGGGCGAGTGTAACACACAGGAGAGAGAGAGAGAGAGAGAGGCTTTTTCCAGCTCTTATCTCATGTCTTCAAGGTGTCGTGAGGAATTCCCCAGTGTTGTACATGTGTGTGTCAGGTTGCTCTTGTTCTAAACAGCATTGCTCGTTTCGATCGGTGTGATGAGCACCATACCCTGAGGACCCCTTGTCAAGGAAATCTCCCTTCAGTCAATCATTTCCTCACCTGCATCTCAACCCATCAACCCATGTCTTCAACAACACCCCATGTGGCTGGCTGGAGGGGAAACAAGCGCTGGATAAACAAATGTTTAAAAGGAAACACTGTTAACACTCTTCTAATTTGATAAACACATAATGCACAATGCTCAGTTCCGGTCCTTGGATGTGATTGGCCGATTAGGGGTCCAAAATGCTGATATACAGTCTAATATACAGCAATGGGACTTTAATGTTTGTATATCACTCTACTAGACCACAGTATGTGAATGAAAGTGGAGTTGTGTAATTTTACCTGAAGCATGAAGCAGGTATTTATAAAGTCAGAAAAAAAAACAATAAAATAAATATACTGTACTACTACTGTACCATTACAATTTTAAAATTGTTATAAAAACACTGACATTGACAAAGAATTTAATATAAATATTTTTTATTATAATCATAATTTAATAAATGAAGTTAGAATATCACAGTAACTGCATTGAAAACCTTTATTTAATTTGGTAACTAATGTCTGTGTGGGACGTATGTTATAATTATTTAATGTGTTAAATTATTTTTGTTTTTAAAATATACTCGTCAGCTGATAAATCAAAGTCTTAATTTAACCCTTGTGTTGTGTTCAGAACCCTATCACACTTACGAGTTTACAGAGCAAAAAGGACCCGGCCTCATAAAATTGCTTATAAATCACTCATTATGCTATATTATCACCAAAGATTGGATTCAATCTTTTTGTCAACTTTTTTTCTTTCATTTAGGACTGGTTTTGTATTTATATTTGCTTCTGATTAATCGTAGGCCTCATTTATCTGAGAGTAGGCACCTCATTTTTTGAGTGAAAAAAGCATTATTTATGAATAATTTTCACAATATTAAATAAAAACTGATGAAAATTTGCACTGTTTATCACAATAGTGTGCTTTAATGCTTAATCAGGGAGTTTGTTTTGAAAGGCTTTTATTTTGTACAAAATGGCACAAAGTCACACTTGTGGTGTTCCCGGTCAAAAATGACCCGGCCTCAAAAAA